AACACTGAAAATTGAAAGGTTTAGAATCTTTGCATGACCTTTAAAGGGCAACACAGTTGCCCATTCACATGCATGCAATTATATGGTGACTAGTTCATAGCAGCATATATATAGATATATGTGTGTGTGTGTGCGTGTGTGTGTGTGTGTGTGTGTATATATATATATATATATATATTTAGTAAAACATACCTTGCATTCATTAAAAACTACTTTAAACTTCCCAGGCTTCATGTGGAAAGTTAGCTTTACATAGCACAGGAGACTTGTTTAGCTGGTTGTCTCAATTTTGTCAAAGTACTAAATTCAGCCTATCACCGTAATTGCTAGAATGCAACATTATCACATTATTGAATCTCTCTGTAAAGAGTTTCCAAATCTACTGCATAAAGCTATAGTATAAAAGAAGCAATATAAATATAAATTTAATTGAATGACTATGTTTGTACTATTGCTGGGGAAAGAGAGATATAACTTTGCTAACTAGCCATTCAGGGGAAATCATAAAACAATTACAGCTACTATGGAGTAACTTAGGAGATTGAAGGAAGTGATTAAAAGGATTCTGTCTAATATAAACATATAAGCTCTGATTCCTTAGTTATATATCTCATCCTCCACATGAACCACTGAACAAAGTGGAATATTCTTCTTATAGCTCATATATTTACTTTTCATTTGATTCCCAAATGAACTAGAAACCTTGTGTTTCCCAATGGCAATACCAATCAATTGCCCAAGCATTCCACTGACTAGCTTGCCTAATATTATAGCACAGGATAAAATCCAACATATCCATGTGGTATACACATTAGAAACAGGTGGATTTTTGGAAAACTAACATAAATTTGGAGTATAATATCAATATATTTTAGTCAATTTTGTAGATATCATTTTAAATGGGAATAGTATACTCCAAGGTAATGCACAGTTTGTGCGTTGACTATGGAGGTGTCTGTTCAATAAAAACAGCACACAGATATATTCAGCATCTAAAATGTGTCAAAATCCCAGTTGCAGTGTCTATAAACACCTGCCAAAGTGTCTCCACACTGAGGGCAAAAGTGATTTTTATTTTTGTATTTGTAGCCTAGTAAATAAACATATCTCCAAAAGAAAAAGCCATGAGAAAAATAAAATATTAAATTAACAGTGGCTCAAACAGTAAAACTCAGTTATAAATGACCTTGTTGTACTACGGATATAGTTGTACTGCAGGTCAAATCATGGAACACAGTGGAAAAAATATGCACCTAAAAATGCAGACATTCTACAAAGTTGTTCTGATCACACTGGTTTTCAATGACACCCATCTAAGATACTGGACCAGTATCTTAGATGGGTGTCATTGAAAGCGTATGTATGTATGCATGTATGTGCATATATGTATAGATACAGAGATTATATAGTTTGATATTACAGAGAAATATATTTAAATATTTTCATGTTCCAGTAAGTCTAACTTACCCCTTTAAAATTTCTGTAAGATTAAGTAGATAAGAGTTGTTTATTTAATTGACAATGACACTGCACTGAATGAATCACTGCACTGAATGAACAAAATTAGACCTTCTAAAAATTACCCAATAAGTCAGTGGCCAATGACAAATAAAAAACAGAAACTAACTTCTAGGTCCCTGTTTGCTAGGCTTACCTGTCAATCTCCTGTCTCAGATTGTGCTCCGAACCTAAAGTAAAACTGTTTTTCTAAAAAGATTAATGGTAACTCAGTGTGAAATTATTTCTTCTCTTTAATGGAATAATTAAATAGTTCAGTATGCTCAAAGTAGTTCAAAATAAAGTTAACCAAAGAATTTTTAGACAAAATGGCAAATTCACCATATCACATGGCATTACAAAAATCAGTGGTCCAAAAGCAAGATATCTCATGTGAAATTTTGTGCGAGCATGTGGCCAGACATTAGGCTGATGCAGCTGGTTTGGCCTTCACATCTAGCAGCAGGCTGTGTTAATGCATTTCTTCTCTTTGTTTTGTTGGAGCCCTACTAATAACAGGTTGATGAATTACATTTGTAAATGTCACGCATAGATCAAAGGGGACGACGGATTGGATGATTATTTTACCACAAGTTGTGATTTTTCACCAAGAAAACATAACTGTATTGCACAGTAAAGTTCCTTATTTTTACTTGAATCTTCAGTGAACCAAACAGCTGCAGAAAAATGTGACTTAATGAGGCATCCCTAATAAAATACTGCAGAAGTAAAAGCAGGGGCACTGAACTGTTTGTACTCTGGCTGTTTCATCTTTTCAAATATATTAGAAATAACTGATGACACTTTGGAACATTCCTTGTTTGGGGCATGCCTTAGAGAGTTCATCAGTAAATGTTCATGAGTTTGCAGTGATTGCTGAACTTGGACGCAATCTGACAGTGCCTTTTCTTAGGGACCAAGATAAGAAATGACTAAGAAATCCTGAAGATACACATCTTACTCTTCCTGTACAGGTTAATCCATAATTTGCAATTAGTGATAAATCAACATTAAATGTATATTTTAACACAAAATACATTTTTAAATGGTCATGAAAATACTATATTGAAGACATTGGATCCAGGACTACTAATATTTTTGATAAGATATAAAATAATTTTTAAATTTTTTCTACCACCCCCTAAATTTTATCATTTTATAAATTTTTAAATAGGAAAACTAGCCGTATCTAAAAACAGATCTTTTAACAGCCATGTCATCACATTTTATAACTTGGCGTCTCTAAGCAATATGAATCTATTTTGACACAAATCCAAAGGCACCACAATTAATGTTCATTCTCCAATTTGTCATTGTTAAAATAGCTAATATTTTTCCAATGCAATATCACACATACTTAGAAGTCTTAAATCCCCTCTAGCAGAACCTGTACCATTATATAGGCGTTTGCTTTCATATCAAAAATTTTGGGCTCATCTTTAAGAGACACATACTATAGCACTGCACATAAATATAAATTCAGCAATCTAAACTACTAAATTTTTGAAAGGCAAGAAAAGAATCAAGATTTAACATTAAAAAAAATGCCTAATCTGAATAAAACAACACACTAAAGCTATTTGCCTCTTGAAAGACACCCTGTGCCTAAGTATTCAGTTGGCAGTGACATTGACCTCACAGACTTTTACTATCTATAAATAATACAATCCAACTTTTTTATTGAAAATTAGGAATATGAAAATAAAATAAGCTCCAATGTGGTAACTGATGGCCTTTAAGTGCCTACTGGTGGCTTTAAAAATTAAGATTCTATAAGGAAAGGTCAACTCAAACAATTGACTCAGGATAAGATCCAGAACAAAATAAAGTAAGGAAAGAGACAAACATGTCTGATCTTTTACTTGAAATATAGTATGTTAGGTGCCAATTTTGATATTGCAAATGAGAGTACAAACACAAACATGGAAAGTCCAGGGCAAATACAAATAATCTTAATGCTCTGATTTTTAAAGCGTTAGAAGTGTTTTCAGTCTCCTTTCCTAGTTATTTTGGTTTAGAACTTTACAAAAAAAAAAAAATCTTAAATTAATTGCTCATTTGTCTTAACTTATATTGCCTAATAAAGCAGTTTGAGAGTGCTAATTGATAACTGAATGTTGATGTTTAAAGCAATCTAGTTGAGAAGACAAGAACCAGATAATTATGATCCAGTCAATAGTCATTGAAATTCATTCTGTCCTGAGTGAAAGACCCTCCTACATTAAGTACTTTGGGGACACTTCAGAATTAAAGTTGCATATGGGTTTGCTTTTTTGTGGTTTTTAAGATTTTTTTTTTTCCTCCAAGAACCATTCTGTAAAATCCAAGAGGGGATTTCACAAAACGAGGATTTTTTTTTCCTCTCTCTTTCTTATTGCCATAAGCCAAACACCCAGCAAAGGTGAAGAGAGACTAGCTGCTGTGTAGTAACATTACTACACATTAGATTCCAAACGCTTCAGGCAGTTAACACTTGGTCAGGACCTGGAATACTCAATAGGGAAACCTCGCGTCCTTCTGAAGGCTCTGTGAGCATCTGTGGTTAGTCCTTTTCAGACTGGGTAACTCAACCTGCAGTTCTTGGAGAAATAGGGCAACGGATCTCAAAGTTTCCTTTGCAAAGGGAGTTTCTGGAAATAACACGTTCCCCATTGATAAGGGAAGATCAGTAGCCTAAAGAAAACACTTCTTGGTAGGCACCCGACCTTTTAGAATTGAAGGCCGAAGGGATGGCAAAGCAATTAGGAGAAAACCAGTGTACTACTAGCAAGATCTGGGAGACATCTACCCAGAAAGAAATGAAAAACCATTAGTCGCCTGAAACCATTCTTATTATGAACGCTGTTCATCAGAGGATCGTTTATTAAAGCTCCTTTGTAGTAGCCTTTACAAAAGCTTTATTTCATTCAGTAAGAAAGCTCCCCATCCCAAATCCAAATAAACCTTACATAGATGAGGCTCGGGAAATTATCAGCTTGGTTCTTTATGAAAATAGTTAGCGGTGGAGAAATCAATAGTCTCATTGAAATACCAATCTTCTGCAAACAGGCCTGAGAATTAACTAATCAGAAGTGGACAAAAAGTAGGGATTTCAGAAAGATGACCCGACACATCCCATTGATCTTCGCTGGAACGCGACCCCCAACTCCTTATTAAGAGTCCAAAATGGTTACTGGCCGGGATGGGTCTGGGTGAGGAATCGAATTAAAACCCACTTCAATCCTCGACCTGGTCGTTTGCTGTATTAGGAGAAATCGGGCAGAGAAGGAGGCATCGCTCCTCGGAGCCCTACCCTGCCTGACTGCCCGCGAGGGAGACGCCGGCCGAGGGACCAGCATCTGCCTTCACCTCTCGCCTTCCCGGGGCGATTCCCCTACAGCCCCCGACCCCCGAGAATGGGGAGGGGAGACGTGTGCCCACAGGAGCTTCCGGGACCGCGGTCCTGCAGTTGCCGCTCCAGTCCCCAGCGCTGGCCGGCGACCCGAGGGGCGGCTCGCACCTACCTGCAGCCCCGTTTCCCGGTGGCGGCAACACCTAGCGATGCTCCTGCAGCTTTTGCGGGCCGGCGCCAGCCTTATCGCTCTCGCATCGCTTCCAAGATGCCAATCCGCCGTCACCATCCAGTGGCATAGGGAACCGAAGTCTGGTGCTGTGTGCTCGTGGAGGACGGTGTGTGAGTGTGGCCCTGAGCGTGCGAGTGTGCGCGCGCGTGTGTGGATGTGTTTCCTCCTCCGATGGCAAATAGGGCTCAGGAATCTCTTGACATCCGAACTGGAATCCCCCTAAAGCGGGTGAAGGTGAGCCTGATCCTTCTACCCGCTTCTTTATTCCACGGTGTCAAAGTAACCAAAAGATTTCTTTACTGAGGAAAAGCCAACGTCCCGCAGCCCTTGGCAGCGCCTGCGGTCGCCCGCTGTCCTCGCCGGATGCGCGCCGTGGGCTCAGTTCCCTGGACTGCAAGAATCAAGGCGGTCTTGCAGCAATTACCGCTCTTGTTCCATCTCTGATTTGTTTGCTTTTAACGCCGAGTAAAGACTTTTCCTCTCGCCTCACGTCGTCTCTCCCTCTCACACACACACACACTCACACATCCTCCGTTCCCTCTCTCCCGCCCTCCCTCTTGTTCTCTAGGGAAAGGCAATTGGACGGAATGATTCACCTTCAGGAAACAGCCTCGGCCACGCACTTCTCGAGTTCCCCGACTCTTGCAGGTACCCGGGCTCCAGCGTGGCTGAGTTGCTGGGAGGCTCGGGACAGGAAGGAGAGGCTCTGAGCTCGGCCAAAGTCCCCCCGCCAGACGCCCGCGTTCCTCGGTGCAGGTTCCCCTGTGCCCACTGCTCGCAGATAGGTCTCGCCGGTGCCCTCGCGGAGACTTTGCTCCTTCCACTCGAGTCCACTTAGCAGCAACTCCTGGCCAGCTTCAGCCCCTCAATCCCGCCTCGAAGTGCTGAGGGCAGAGCCCCGCGCAGCCCACCCGCTGCCCTTCTAGGCATCGTGGGCTAGAAGGAAGGGAAACCCGCCGATGTCCCCCTGGCAGCAATGCCCTGGCACCGTCACCAACGAGAAAGTGCTAGTTCCAACATCCAACACGAGCGAGCAGGTGTCGCCTGTGTCACTTCGCTAAAGACGGGAGGGGAGAAAGAAAGGAGCGGGGGGGAGGGAGGGGGCCGAGGAAACAAATCCAGATTTCCAGAGGAGAAAGAAGCCGTTTAGCAAGCAAAGCCTCCTCTCCGCGTCCCACCCCAGGCGCTGTACTGTCAAAAGACACTGATGCTAATCTTTTAGAAACTCGCCATAAAGGACAGAGCCCCCTCCACTCTAGAACCCTATTCCAGCCAGCTTGGCTGTCCAGGGAATACAGAGTGACTTGGCTCCCCCTTATAGTGCAGAGAGAATGCAGGAGGAGAATAGGTCCTGACACTCCAGGTTGAGTTAAGCAGTAAAATGGGATGGCAGGACCAGGCGACGTTGCCTCCCTTCTCCCTCCCAACAGCCAGTTCTGTGAGCCCCAGCAACTGCCGCTGAGAGCAAACAACGGTCCTGCAGAAAAGGAACGACAATAAAAGATGAGGAGGCAATTCGTATAAAAGCTGGACTATGTCTCCCTCTAGAGGGACAATCGGATTAGAACGCTTTACTAGATGTAACCAATTTCTCTCTATAAAGAAAAAGAAAGCAGTATCTGGTTTCAGAGAATTGCATTTTTACAAATTACAACTTATCAAGGATTTAGAGGGAGGATTTTTACTGCATCCCTGTTAAGCAAAGCCCTTGCTAAAGAAACGTCGTGATATTCATGACGATGGAAGGTCGTGGCCTTACACGTTTGGTCAAATTGGGTGTTGGTTTAAGCACTGTCTTCAAAGGCTCACTTCGGTCATATTTGGATATGAGCAAAATCTTAACCTAGTGATTAGAAGACTATTCAAAAGTGAACAAACAGTAAGAACGAATTCAGAAAAAGAAAATCTGAAACAAAGAAAGGGAATGCTGACCTAGGAAATCTTACAAGTCCTTTACAAGGAGGGAGAAGTCAAGAATCTGGTCTTGGAGCCAGTTTTCATACCTCTTTTTCAACTAGACCAATAATTGTCAAGATAGGTAAATTCCTTCTGGCTCTAAAAATTTGTGCTTTTATATAGCTGTGATTCTCTGAAACCATTTACAAATTAGGTATCACATCCTCTCTTTACCAGTTAAAAAAATAAACGTAATACTACCTACATATTTACAAAGAGATATGGAATATATGCTTCACTTAGCTATTTTATCTTAACATGCTTAGTAAATCAACCATATTTTGTGGTCATTTTTATAAAAGGTAGCTCCACCGATTTTATAAGATTCGTTACTTCAGTCAGAGTCAAGCTAGTCCCATCTGTAACCTTAACATTTAGATTTTTGTAAACTTACCATTTGAATTGGGGATTTGCTTTCAAAATGTTTTGGTATGTTCAAAAATTATAAAATACGTATTAAAGTTATTATTCAACATCCCCCATTCATTCATTCTGAATTTTTGGAGCAGTTCTATTTTAACTTGATAATCTAACTTAGAGGCATAAAGAAAAAATGTATTTTTTAATAACTGAGACTAGTTGAAATCATTTAAAACACCAAAACTAAGACAAGTTTTACCCTTGCAACGAATTGTTCTATGGCGGATTTGAGTTGGTCTAGTAGTACATGGCAATCATTTGTTTCCAAAGAACTCCCAGATAGTCTCTTTCAAAAGATTTATTCCATGCGATTAAATATTTCATTCCACTTACATAGTAACTTATATCCAGGAAAGCGACGTTTATATTTTAAAACACCTGGCACTGTTTCACTGCAAATCTTACAGTAATTTTCTGTCTGCTGTGTTAAATAGTGGGATGAAATCCAGGCAAGAATGACATTGGAAATTTTGACTCTGTACTAGAAAGAAGTCACTCACAAAATCACTTTAGAACACTGGCTTTCTTTTGCACACGCGCATGCACACACACAAAAAACATAAAGCATACATTATAATCTTTCTACCTTCCAATTCATTAACTTTTTGTGGTTGTAGAGGAATCTATAGTTTTGTCATATTGTTAAAACTTTATTTTCGTTGTTTAAGTGTGGGACATTTTCAGCCTTATTTTTCTAACTAAACCCACTATGTTTTTACAAACATATGAAAAAGTTAGTAAAGAGAACAGATGTATAAATTAATTATGAAATATAACAAAATTGCCTTTCCAGTGTCATATGATGCTGAAATTTTATAATAACCTCTGTGCTTTTTATAAATAATTCCCAATAATTTTTAGATCAAGATATTCCTATTTCCAGCATCTCCTAAACAAAACAAAATCTTTTGCATTCTCTTTGAAGGGAACAAAATAGCAAATATTCTCCTAGTTTAACAGAAATTTTGTGTCAATACTTCTTACCTTCTACAGGAATACCTCAAAAATGTTGCTGGTTTGGTTCCAAACCACCACCAATATTGCAATAAAGTGAGTCACACAATTTTTTTGGTTTCTCAATGCATATGAAAGTTATGTTTACACCTAGGGACATGGATGAATCTGGAGAACATCATTCTCAGCAAACTAACACAAGAACAGAAAATGAAATACCACATATTCTCACTCAGAGGCGGGTGATGAACAATGAGAACACATGGAGGGAAGCACTACACTCTGGGGTCTATTGGGGGGAATAGGGGAGGGACAGCAGCAGGGGGAGCTGGGGAGGGATAGCATGGGGAGAAATGCCAGATGTGGGTGAAAGGGAGGAAGACAGCAAATCACACTGCCACGTGTGTACCTATGCAACTATCTTGCATGTTCTGCACATGTACCCCAAAACCTAAAATGCAATAAAAATAAATAAATAATAAAAATAAAAAATAAAACTGCACATAAAAAAGAGAAAGTTATGTTTACACCATACTGAGGTCCATTAGGTATGCAATAGCATTTTGTCCATATATATATATGTCCTAAGGTATATATATATATATGTCCTAAGGTATATATATATATGTCCTAAGGTGTGTATGTGTATATATATATATATATATATATATATATATATATATATAGCCTTGAAAATGATTTAATGCTTTTTTAAAAAAAGTGTAATGATCATCTGAGCCTTCAGCAATTCCTAATCTTTTTGCTGGTGGAGAGTCTTGCTTCAGTGTTGATGGCTGCTCATGGATCAGGGTAGTAGTTGCTGAAGGTTGGAATTGGTGTGACAGTTGCTTAAAATAAGACAATAATGAAGTTTGCTGTGTCAGTTGACTCTTCTTTTCACAAAAGATTTCTCTGTACCATGGAATGCTGCTTGATAGCATTTTATCCATAGCAGAACTTCTTTCAAAATTAAGTTAGTCCTCTCAATTCTGCCACTGCTCTATCAGTCAGATTTATGAAATATTCTAAATTCTTTGTTGTCATTTCAGCAATATTCAGAGCATCTTTTCCAGGAGTAGATTCCATCTAAACAAAGAAAAAAACTACTGTATTTTCTCATCCACAGAAGCAACTCTTCTAGCATCTAGAATGGTGAATTCTCTCCAGGCGCTTTTCAACTTACTTTGCCCAGATCCATCAGAGGAATCATTATCTTTGACAGATGTAGCCTTACAAAATGTATTTCTTAAGTAAGAAGACTTGAAAGCAAAAATTACTCCTTGATCTATGGGCTGCAGAACAGATGTTGTGTTAGCAAGCTTGAAAACAACATTAACCTTCTTGTACATCTTCATCAGAGCTGTTGGATGACCAGATGTATTGTGAATAAACGGTAATATTTTGAAAGGAATCTTTTCGTGGAGCCAGTAGCTCTCAACAGTAGGCTTAAAATATTTAATAAAATATGCTGTAAACAAATATGCTAATATCAGATTTTTTTCCATTTCTGAAACACAGGCAGAGTAGATTTATTATAATTCTTAATGGCCATATGATTTTCAGAATAGTAAATGAGCATTGGCTCCAACTTAAAGTCACCAGCTACGTTATGTTCTAACGAAAGAGTCGTCCTGTCCTTTGAAGCTTCAAAGCCAGGCACTGACTTCTCTCTAGCTAGGAAAGTCCCAGATGTCATCCTCTTCCAATATAAGGATGTTTCATTTACACTGAAAATCTGTTGTTTAGTGTATCCACCTGCATCAGTGATCTTGGCTAGATCTTCAGGATAACTTTCTGCAGCTTCTGCATAGGCACTTGCTGCTTCACCTTGTATTAGTATATTATGGAGACAGCTTTTTTCTTTAACTCTCATGAACCAAACCCTGCTAGTTTCAAATTTCCCTTCTGAAGATTCTTCACCTCTCTCTCAGCCTTTATAGAATTGAATAGAGTTAAGGCTTTGCTCTGGATTGGACTTTGGCTAACAGGAATGTTGTGGCTGGTTTGATCATCTGTCTCAACACCAAAGCTTTCTCCATGTCAGCAATAAGACTGTTTTACTTTCTTATCATTTGTGTATTCAGTGGAGTAGCACTTTTCATTTCCTTCTTGAATTCCTTTGCATTCACAACTTGGCTAGCAGTTTGGCTCAAGAGGCCTAGTTTTCAGCTTTTGACGTGCCTTCCTCATTAAGCTGAATCATTTCTAGCTTTTGATTTAAAGTGAGAGATATGAGACTGTTCCTTTCGCTTGAACACTTACAGGCCACTGTAGGGTTATTAATTGGCCTAATTTCAGTATTAGGTCGGGGAATAGGGAGACCCCAGGAGAGAGAGGTAGTTGGGAGAACAGCCAGTTGGTGAAACAGTCAGAACCACACATTTATTAACTAAATTTGCCATCTTACATGGGCACAGTTCATTGCAACCTAAGACAACTATAATAGTAACATCAAAGACCAGTGATCATAGACCACCATAACAGATACAAGAATAATCAAAAGGTCTGAAATATTGTGAGAATTACCAAAATCTAACACAGAGACATGAAGTGAGCACATGCTGCTGAAAAAAACGGCACTGAGAAACTTGTTTAACACAGGATTACCACAAACCTTAAATTTGTAAAAATAAAATATTAATAATAAATAAAAGTAATATCTGCAATGTGCAGTAAAGGAGGGGTCTCCAATCCCCAGGGACTGGTACCCTCCCTGTTAGTAACCCAGCCTCACAGCAGGGGTGAGCTGTGGGCAAATAAGCATCACTGCCTGAGCTCCATCTCTTGTCAGATCAGCTGCGGCATTCGATTCTCATAGAAGCCTGAACCCTATTGTCAACTGGATATGCAAGGGGTCTAGTTTGTGTGCTCCTTATGAGAATCTAATGCCTGATTATCTGAGATGGAACAGTTTCATCCTGAAACCATCCCCCATCAACTGTCGTCCACTGAAAAAATTGTCTTCCATGAAACCGGTCCCTGGTGCTGAAAAGGTTGGGGACCACTGCAATAAAGTGAGACACAACAAGTTGAGGAACAGCCATATTTATTTAAATTGCCATCCTCCTCAACTCTAAGCAGTAAAAAATCATTTCTTTAAATGCTGAACTTAACTGGATTGTAACTCATTGTAGCTTTCCATGTTCTGTTCACTAAAATATCACTTTGGTGTACTTCAGGCTTTTTCTTT